TGAAGTAAGTGGCAAAGCTGGTCAATTACCAAAAGTATTTACACTACACGCACCAAGCTCTTCAACTGCTGCAGCAGCAGTAGGGAAGGAGAGTGGTGGGAAGAAAGTTGTATTGTGCGTTATGAATGTTGAGGAAAACGAGCTGCTTTTGGTCACTTTCTTATTGCAGATTCACCCTTCAATCCCTCGAGGCTACAGCCGTAGGTCTAGCACTAGATACGGATCTGTGACCATGGGATATACCCCTGTATTTGCAAATATGGAGAGGAAGAAGGGAGTTCTTGATGCAATCAAGATGGAAGACCACGGCGCCTCTCGAATCCTTATACTCACTGATGATGGGGAGTTGCAATTATTTTCTCCCTGGGGCCCTAGTATTCGGGTCGCCCTGCCACCGACTTTATCAAGATGGAACACGAATGTTGTGGGCGAGGATGGAAGCAGAAGAGGCAGTCGGAAAAAGGGTTTTGCAAGAAACCTGTCGACTAGCCCAGATAAATATGAAGAACTGCGTCACTCTGAGATAGGTGGTAGGGTTACAGTCGTAGATGGGGATGGTGTAGGACATCGAATTAGCATCACGATGGCGCCCAGAGAGACCGCAATAAAAACGTGCTTGGAGACGTCCAGGGTAATCCTTGGGGCTTCAGCAGGTTCACCTGTGGGGGAGGGGATGTGGGCTTCATGGATTGAAGTTGGAAAGTGGCTTGGTATTAACACTGGCCCCGAACCTGTTGTATCTTCTCGTGGCCAGTCCAGTCAACAAAAAGTTCCTGAAGTGGATGAATGGAAAGCCTTTGTAACCACCCTCTTTTTACTTGCAATACCTTCACTGCCAGAACCCAAACCGGCCGGAAGAAGAAAAAGTGCTGGGTTCGTGAGAAGTGCAAGTCTCGTAGCTTCAAAGGAATGGGAAGATCTGGTGGCGAGTGAAGGAGAATGGGGGAGTGGTCCGGAGTATTTGAAATCACCAGCTTGGTCATGGATGGTCGAGGAAGAGGACAATCGCATTCTTGCGCAGATGGAGAGTACTTCTCACACTACACCAAAATCCAGATCACATTCTACGCCTGAGATGAAGAAAATGAATGCTTTTATCACCGAGTGTATCTCCCTAGCTAGAGATTTCACAAAGACTCCCATGGGTCAAGCAGTGAAAGACGAATATTACGGTGGAGATGGAGGTTTGGAGCCCCTCAGAAAAACTGGGTTAGCAATGTTACTGGTGGCCTTACACCTGGTGAGGGAGGAATGGAAACTGGACGTAACTATGGAAGGTGCAGGGCGCAGGCTATGCCCTGTTTTAAGACAACTTGCAACCTGGCTGGGTTGGTCGGAGTGGATCGAAGAGTATATGCTTGAGGACGTGGAAATGTCATCATGGAAGTTTGATGAGAGTACGTTGAAAGACCCTCCGTTTTCTATATACCTTTTGCTGACGTTACCCAGCGAAAATATCGAGCATTGAGGTTCCTCCACAGCCGTTCAAGGCGCCTTCGATATACGACTGGCTCATAGGATGCCTAGAAGGTACAAACAATGGGCCGTTTATGATGCTGCAGGACATTGTTACAATTCCTGTATCCTCGCCGACAGGAAGTCATTATTCTACCGCCTCCCAATCTCGGGCAAGAAATCCGTTCTCTCCTCCTCCAATGCCACCGCCACTGCCAACACAAAAACGTGTATTTGCTAGACTTACACCTAGGACAAGGATCATCACCGAACTTTACACCACCTTGACAACTCCTGGCTCTACCGATGTAGATGTAGTTGCTAGAATGGTGGAGCTGAAGATGAATACTACAAGCCTAGAAAGGTTACCGGAAGGAATTGCAGTCCCGCTCCGGGAAGCAGTTGCCCGATGCCAAGAAGAACCTCCGACTACTTGGGGCGCACAGGCATTAGACCTTGTAGGAAGAAAAGACTTGAAAATGCTAATCGACCCTGGGAAGGGAAGAAAAGAGGGCGGTGCCAAGTGGCAGAGTGTAAGGACCCTTCTTGGAAGAAACATATCGAGCCTTTGGTTAACGGCATGTTTTGGTGTTAATAGGCTCCAACACATGAGGCTACAAGGGATGTCCATGCAATTTGCAACTCAACCTTTGAGATTGAAGCGATTGGGTCATATGACCATCTTGCCGAACATGATAGACAGGCGGTATCGCGCTTAATATTTAAAGAGGACCGGCGTACTGCCGAAGCGGCGAAATTGCTTTCCTCAGTCAAGCCCGCAGTTGCTAAATGTATTCCCGAGCAACATTGGACTGAACAGGACACATTAAATGCCCAAAAAGAAATAGCTCAAAATGTCGCGGTGAGAACTTTGTCGGTATCACCCGGGAGGGGATTGTTTAATTTCTCCTCCAGGATCCCTTTGTTGACAGAAAAGTTTCCTATCTCTGCCTTCAATCTTTCCACGGTCATGAAACCAAGTAATACAACTGTCTCAGCAGATAAGGTCACTTATAGCGAGGAAAAGGTTTGCTGGGCCTTCTTCCACGCCGGCGTCTCCGCAGGAGTGAGCATCTCAAGAGAAGCGAAAGAGATTGATACCAGCTGGATTGTGTTTAATAAGCCTGCGGAATTAACGAATCGCCACGCAGGGTTCTTGTTAGGCCTGGGAATGAACGGACATCTAAAGAGCATTGCTAAATGGCATGCTTTCAATTACCTTACCCCTAAACATACAATGGTATCTATTGGACTATTGTTGGGTTTGAGCGCCAGTTATTTGGGAACCATGGATACAACAATCACGAAACTGCTCTCTGTACATGTCACTAGGCTTCTACCGCCTGGCAGTGCAGAATTGAATCTGAGTCCCCTTACACAAACTGCTGGAATTATGGGTATCGGATTATTGTACGCAAATACACAACACAGAAGAATGAGTGAGGTCATGCTCAGCGAGATCGAGTATGTCGAAATAGTGGATAGCTGTGTTCCTAGTGATACGTTACGTGATGAAGGATATAGACTTGCGGCCGGGTTTGCGCTCGGGTTCATCAATTTGGGCTCTGGGAAAGATCTTCGCGGTCTACATGATATGCACCTTGTTGAGCGACTGCTTTCATTAGCTGTCGGGAGCAAGAAAGTCACAGCCGTTCATATACTCGACAAGGCGACTGCAGGAGCTACTATCGCCCTGGCACTTATTTATATGAAAACTAACGATGAAGGACTGGCTAGGAAGGTAGATGTACCGGATACTATTCATTTATTCGATTACGTTCGTCCGGATATATTCTTACTTAGGACTATCGCGAGGAATCTCATCATGTGGGACAACATACAAGGAAGCTTTTCATGGATCAGAAGGAGTCTAGTTCCATTCTTGAGGGGGAGATATAAGTTGAACATGACAGATGTTTTCGAATTGGACAGTGAGGATTTACCATTCTTCAATATCATAGCGGGCCTGTGCTTTTGTATTGGATTGAAGTTTGCAGGGAGTGGAGATGAAGAAGTCAGAGATGTTTTGGTACACTACTTGGATCAATTCATCAGGCTTTGCAATATGCCTGGTAAGCTCATCGATATCTTTGCTATCTTTTAACCGACGAATATTAACCTATTAAATAGCACGCAACCACGATCAAAAACTCACAAGGGCGACGTCGAGAAATTGCCAAGACCTTATAGCGCTAGCTGCATCAACTGTAATGGCCGGGACAGGAGATGTGGCGGTGTTTAGACGGTTGAGGAAACTCCACGGAAGAATCGAGCCAGATGTCACTTATGGAAGCCATCTTGCCGCACATCTGGCAATTGGAGTTCTTTTCATGGGAAATGGCAGCTTCACCTTTGGAACCGGAAACTTGGCAGTTGCGTCTTTACTGTGCGCATTCTATCCACTATTTCCAAACACTGTAATGGACAACAAGTCGCATCTTCAGGCATTCCGGCACATGTGGGTACTTGCTGCAGAAGCGAGATGCTTAGTTGCCAGAGATGTTGATACCCATCGGCCGTGTGCAATCCCTATTACCATCACACTAAGGAACGGAGAGGAGCTTCATAAGTCCGCTCCTTGCCTTCTGCCAGAGCTTGACCGCGTAGCTTCCGTTACCACTGCTTCTCCACACCATTGGACTGTTGTTCTAGATTTTGCAAACAACCCGCAACATTTAACGAGCTTCCAGAACGCCCAAACCATCTATGTGCATCGTCGTACCGCCCATGCATCTACATCGACGGTCTTCCAGGCGACATTACAAGCCTTAGATGAGACAGAGACCAACAACTCATCACTTGAATGGCTTCTTGGGCTTCGGGCCTTTAGCTCACTCGACAAGTCCGAAAGAGCTCTACTGTTACCACCTCCAATAGCATCAACCGAAGGCGCTGGCACAGCAGCCGCGGCAGGCGGGATCCAGATGGCGACTTTCGAAAGTAACATCGTTGACACGAAACTTGTGCTGGAAAACGACTCAGTCAGTGGCGTTAATAGAGATAGATTGAAGGGTGTGAGATTATTGTTTGCGTTTTGCGAGCGTATGGGCGAGGAACGTGGCTTGTGGTTGACGGCGGAAAGTGTAGACCGGCTGAGAGCAGGTGTCTGGACCGCATTTTCGGGAGGGGATGGTAGGGGCAAGACCTAATATTACGATGCATAATGAAATATGCTTTTATTGTTTAGGCGTTAGATTCAGATACGTTGGCGTTATAGGATAAACAGCGAAAGATATCATAGCATTAGCAAACTTGTATTTCAGTTTACTGTCGATAATTTAGGAGCAGAGGCCTAGATGCAATATACCCTTTGTTTTTAGACAGCCATTGATATCAGTAGCCCGACCTCTCAGAGTTCTAGATTTATAGGCAGGACAATTCACGAGTTATTCATCTCGAATTAGCTCCTACAATCGTGACCGAATGTATTTATGACCAAACGAGTGATATTCCATGACCAAATTGACCCTGAGTGTAAGCTACCACTTATTTTTAGACAGAATGATGTCCCTATGTAGATCAAGACCTTCAGATATATCCTTCCCTTACAACTCATCCTTCGGCGCATCCTTCGGCACATCCCTCGGTACATCTTCTACAAGAATCTCTGTGTTTGGTACAAGATCTCCGGTAGCAAATAAGTGGGTAATCGATTTCGCCATCCCAATAAATTTCAGTCTTGGCCCTTCCTCAAAGATCCTCTTCGGGATTTTGTACCCAAACTGTTCGAACAGAAGCCTTCATCGAAGCATACACGGTTAGAACTTGCACTCATCCTAAGAAATGGAAGGACTTACTCAAAGTCTTCGGTCTTGTAGAAAACCAAAGCACCATCGCCCATTCCCTCAATAACATGCACCATTCCCAAAATCTCGGCCATTTCTTCTCGGAATTTGTCCTCAAACTTGTAGTCTTTGGAGAAGTGCCAGTTGTAATTGCCTCTCGCCTTCTTTCGTAAGAATTCTTGGCGTTGAATGGCGTTGAGGGGGCCGGATGAGGGGTGGTTCCTGTCGGTTAGTGCGATGGGTTGACCTTGCTTTATGATCCATTTAATGAGTTGCTCGGTTGTGAGGTAGGGGAATATATCTGTTGGGTCTTTGAACGCGAGAGGTAGGATCGGGAGATGTCGGTTTTCATAGGCGAGGGAGACGAGGTCGTCGGCTGGAGGGAGTGGGTAATCGAGACGGTATGTTCGCAGGAACGAGCGGAGTTCTTCGGTAGTCCAACTGTTAAATGAAAATTGGTTGTTAGTTTTAGGCATACGCTACGCTGTGGGGGGGGGGGGGGGGGAGGTCTTATTACTTACTCTTTGAGGGGTTTGATATCCCCGACTATCTGAACCTTCCCTACTCGCTCATTGATAGCCTTTACAGCCATATCTGCAAGCGCTTTCTTGCTCTTTGAAGTGGTTTCCTGTTCTGCCTCTTCTGATGCGCACTCAGGAAGCTCTTCGCCGTCCTTGCGCTCAAGAGTACCCATATACTCGTACAGCCGCTGGCAGCTCCATGAATTCAGCTCCTCGGGATCAAAACCTGTAACCTCTGGGGCTAGATGAGCATGTGTTTTCACTGTGTCGAGGAGGGCGCTGCGGTCGAATGGAATAGCAATCCCACGGATATCGAGGAAAAGAAGAAGCCTCTCAGCGGACCAGCCGGAGAGGGCCCGCTTCTCAGGAATAAGTGGCTCGTTCGCCGTGCAGAACGGCGCAACTGAGAGGAGGAGAACTGCGGCTAGGGATGTCAATCGCATGTTGGAATGTTTGTGTGAAATTGAATAGAGATCTCAACTGGGTTTTTGACAAGTATATAAATGCCATGTAGATTTCGTAAATACCACGTATATCTTTAGGGTTCGGTGGTGAGGATAGGCTCATTGACGCGGAGGTCGGGCCGGGTTAATATAATCTGTCCCTGAACCCCGGATATATACCCCAGTTATCCTGACCCTGCAGAATATTAGGCAGGATCAAGTAGTGCGCTGCGGAAGATGCTCATCGTCTATATATGATACTACTACGATTATTGTTATTATAATTCATTTGCATATGATATAGCAATATTATACGCAGTCGAAAGTAGTATCTACCGCATTTCCTACTATTTTATCATTGGCCTCCACTATGCTGCTACATATAGAAAGGTAGAACCTACGGTATGTAATTCTGCGACAGTGGGGAAACCTAAAACTTCAGACGAATACCTACTATCTCTATGCGGGTTTAAGTTAAATGCCGCTGCTAATTGTTGGCTGGTTTCGCCAGTTAACACTAGTGCGTATGTCGTCTGCCATAAACGATTTCAACTTCCAGAGCTAGCTCTTAAACCTGGTCAAGCGAATAAAGGCTTGGCACTAGGGTTAGGGGTGAGTTTGGCTCCTAACAACAACGTTCTAATGGTAGGGTCTAGTTTTCATCCTTTGTATTTTCTCATACCAAGATGTCCCTATATTGCTTGGCCGGTTTCAAAAGTTCTGGAAGTACATACCCGCTAAAAAAAAACTGCAATTATAAATTTGAGCGTGACTGTCATTGTTCGCATTATTGGCCATGGTGAAATTACATGCAGTCTATCTTTTTCTACTATGTACTAGAATAATGATTTTCCGAGGTTCTTGCAGTCTGATTGGTCGATAGCGAGAACCCCTAGCCCTGACTGACTCCTGCATGGCAACCGGTCCACCCCACCATCTTCTACTATGTACTAACTAGAATAATGTTGTCCGAGGTCACTGCATGGCAACCGGTCCACCCCACCAAAACCTATTACATTGCTGAGCAACGGAAGCTCTACGGTTCACGCCCTAATATTCATTTAAAAAGGGGTCTGTATAATTATAATACGATCAATTTAATAATATGTATAATATGACTGGGAGTAGTGGGAGGACGAGATAGACGAGGTGGACGATGTGGATGAGGTGACGAAGTGGAGGAGGTGGAAGGCGGTGGAGGTGGAAGGGTTGGAGGAGGTGGAAGAGTTGGAAGAGGTGGAAGAGTTGGAAGAGGTGGAGTGGAGGGTGTAAGGCGGAGGGGGACTCAGAAGGCGGAGAGGGTGGTGGAGGCGGGTGGAGGAAGGTGAGGGGAGGGGGAGGTGGAGGAAGCTGGATTGGGGGGGGACTGAGGGCAGCGGGAAGGCGGTGGAGATGGTGGAAGTTGGAGGGGCGGGAATTGGGGGGGGGGGGAAGGTACACTGGAAAGGGGGGGGGGGGTGCACTGGATCCATGGAAGGAGTCCCCTCAATCAATATCAATATTTAATACCCATTAATACTCATAATCCAACAACTCGCGGTCGCGAGGTGGCACACCCCTAGTCTAATATGTACTGTCTTTCGTTTTCTGAACTCTTGAGACTGTGATTGGTTGAAAGTGACAGGGGTTGTTTAGTAAGCACGACACATCAAAGTGCTGAGCGTTGAGAGGAGGACGGGGCCGAAGGCCCCTCATGATTGTAGAGGGAGAATTAAATTTTATTTGATACCCATAATCCAAAGTACAACTCGCAGTCGCGAGTTGGCACACACCTAGTGCATGTGTACTGAATTTAGCTGGCCGCTCGTTTATTGCATTGTGATTATTTGGCCTCATAAGACGTTAGGGACTCAGTGTTTAAAAGATGATGCTCTTTTCTAGAGCGCATGCAGGTACATCTCATGGCTGGCTAGTCTCGTTTCAAGTCCCATTTTTATTTTTTTTAATTTTACTTTTTATTTTTTAATGGTAATCATGGTGGTTGGTAATTTTTATACTGGTACACACCTGAGTCCAGCTGCAGCTGCAGGTCCTTTTGTAGTCTGGTTGCTATGCCAAAACCCCCAACTGCTACAGCTTCGGAATAAACCCAAACCGTGAAAGTATAAATTGCCCACAACCAGAAAACACCGTAGGGTCTGGTATCGACGTCGGAACTAATGGCTAGACATATAACAAGTACTTTATGTACTAGCAGCACTCCAAGCACAACTAGCTCTCTTGGAGAATATAATCTGCTGCCATATATATCGGTACATATATATACTGTACAACTGTGGATATTATATTATTAGCCGGCCGTACGTACTAGTAGTTGTTGGTAACTGAGGGGAGAAAAGGAGGGGTATGTCTTTTGGAAAGGTATATGTAGTTATAGTACCAGACTAAGTAGTTGTTTCACAGGTCTTTAATTTCAATGCCAACAGGTATGCAGATTCGTCATTAAATCTCTGAGAAACGGTAGGCACCCCCAACCACCATGCGGCTTAAAAGCTTAATCCCTCCTTCTACTTCAATCCCTGTCACGTTACCCGGACGTCACGTCTCACGCGGGAATAATACTAGAAACTTGTACCAATATATGCAATATCAATCTCGATTTCCACGAATAAAACATAAAAATGGCACGCACACGCTCCCGCTCACCGCCCCTTCACGAAATTGACAGACCCCGCAGAAACCGTTCAACTTCACCTCGAGACAGTGATCGGGATCGAAGACACAGGTCGAGACGACACGACGACGAAGACAGACGGAGGCCACGAGAGGACCGAGATCGGAGAGATAGGGGCGGAGATAGGGGCGAGAGAGAAAGACACAGAGACAGAGACAGAGATAGGGGTGGACGGGAAGAAAGGGGTAGTAGAGATAAGGATAGGGGTGCGAGAGAAGACCGTGGATCTGCTAGAAACTCACGCGAGAAGAGCTACAACGGCGACAAAGACAGACCCAAGGAAGACCCCCGAGCAGCTCTGGCCCGCCGAGCCGCAGGATCAAGCGCCCCCGGCCCCGGTACGGGCGCAAACGCAGACGCTACCGAAGGTGAACCCGTCGAGAAGGAGGTAGCCAACTTCGGAAACACGGGGCTCCTTGCCGCGGCGACAAATACTGTTAACGGTGTGGTCTTGAAGTACAGCGAGCCAGCCGAAGCTCGAAAACCCCCGGGCTCGCAGAAATGGAGGTTATTCGTGTTCAAGGACAAGGATATTGTTGACAACATCGACCTTAACGTGAATAGCTGCTGGCTCGTGGGGAGGGATAGGGCGGTGGCAGATCTGCCGGTGGATCACCCGAGTTGCAGTAAGCAGCATGCGGTGATACAGTTTAGGTTTGTGACAAAAGTAGGGGAGTTTGGGGATAAGGAGAGTTCGGTGAAGCCGTATCTATTAGACCTGGACAGTGCAAATGGCACATTTGTCGGCAAGGATAGGATTCCTGAGAGGAGATATGTCGAACTGAAGGAGGGCGATTTGGTAAAGTTCGGGTTGAGTACGAGGTTTGTGATTCTATCCTTAGCATTATTTAGGTAGATATTGACCGTGATTGCTGCAGGGAATATGTTTTCATGCTCGAAAAGGATTAGACATCTTCCAGCATGTGGACTTTGTATCGGGAATGAAGGCGTTGCGGCCTGAAAACACAACAAGTAATTTGTCTTGAAGCGATTAAGAACATCAAAAGGAATGATTAGAATGTATTATAAAGCCCATGCAGTCACAGCGTTTAGTGTATACATACATGTGAATGTGAAAAAAAAATATAAATATGTCGCGTAAAGTAGCAAACTCAATAATAAGGATGCAGTGCATGCACGTTCGTGCACTGCAGAAATGAGTAACAGCCTACACGTAGAGTAGAGTAGATCAATCCCAAGCAATTGGGCTGGCTGCGTACCCGAGACAGTTGAGATATATTATTACATGTACGCATAGACAGTTCTATTAAATACATACTCTAGTAGTACCGAGGTGGCTGGCATTCGTGATATGTTGGGAACGCATGGGTTCTGAATTGCTCATACCTACATGTAGTGACACTCAACTTGAATGCGTACTCCTTGTTGGCCCGCTAGATAGCTTGAAGACAGGCTAGAAACAAGTACAGACACAAGTTCCGGGACTAAGAACAAGAAGCCATTTATGTCATCTTAAAAACTCCACACAATATCCGAGAGGCAGAGAAGAATCAGTCATCCTTCTTCACCTTCAAAACTTTCTCTTGGAAATTTCTTTCCTTCCTTAACATCCTCCTGTTCATAACTATCATCATTATTATCATCACACTCCCTCATCCTCATCCTCTTCCTCCTCCTCTGATCTTCATCATACTCTCCCCTCTACCCCCCCCCCCCCCCCTTGCTTCAATTCAGCCAACCCCTGCTTGCATACCCCTGAATCAAAACAAACGCTGTAAGCTCATTGGGAAACGGAATTTACAGTTAATAATAAAAAAGAAACGGAATCCTGGCTGTCGTAAAGAAAAGAAGTAGAGTGATTCGTTTCTCTACCTTTTTTACCCATCCAAAATCGTTTATGTACCACTCCCGTGACGTATTACCGTCACGACCCCCTACCGTCACTACGGCTCGACCTAAACCATCCCGTTCTCCTTCTTCTCCAACTCTCTCTCGTCTTCAGAGTTTCGCAAGACGTCTCTCGCTGGGGTCAATACGTTCATCTACAAAGTCATCTCAATCCACTACTCACAAAAAGAGCCAATCATCACCTAGGGCCAGTTCCCCATCCCTGATCACCACACCTGCATTACCGGCCCCAGTACCGCCAACTCCACCCGTCAGTGACGAGCTACAAAAACCTACTGAAGAAACACCAGCACAACTTGACGGGACTTCAACAAGCTGTCCAGTATATCTAGAGATGGAACCCTTGTCGCCACAACTACCTCCAAGTAGAGACCCTGAAGGAGGAGGGGGTATTTCACTACTTCCTTCTGCAAGCCCACCTCTACCCAGCAGTCCAGTCTATTCTCACCGCGATGATGAAACAAGTCATTATCATAATGTTGGCGACGAGAGTTTACCTTCTGGACAGAAACGGCATTTAATGAATTTTGAGAGCTCTTTTAGGGCTGATTCAGAGCTCAGTCGGTTGTCTTCAGATGCACCTGCAGAGCGCGAGGCCGAGGAGAGAGAGGTGCCTGGTAGGACTGCATCTGCGTCTGAACTCGGTCGCGTAGGTGACATGGGACCACCACCGCTTCCGGTTAACACGGGTGCTTCTGCTGCGAGTAAGAGACGTCTACACCGTAGCGCAAGTAACATCTCAAATCGAAGTAGCAAATCAGGTCGAAGCATTTCAGCGTCGAATCGCAGCACATCGGTTTCGCACAGAAACAGGAACGGGTCAGTGTCGACCACTAAGGAGGAGGTGGAAGAGGAGAAGAGCGAAGAGCGGCAACAGGGGATCACTGCAGGTTCGTCACCGTTTTTGCCGTTTTCAACGGGCGATTCAACCGGGTCCGAAGAACCTTTTAGCACCCCACTTCATCTATCTACTAGCGATAACGACGCCGCACTCGAAAATTTCAGTAGCAGCCCCACTGTTGCTGCGTTAACAAGAAATTCTTCACGGAGCGCATCGGCGCTGGGTCCAGCGTTCGTGCCCACTCAGCGTTCCAAAGAGCCGGAACAGCAGTCATCATCATCAGAGGAAGAAATTGGACTAGGGATCCAGAGGCAACCATCAGCAAGATCGTTACCAGGGGAAGAGGGAGCGGCTGTCAAATCTTCAAGCGCCTCTACACTGTCTGCAAGAATTCAAGCTAGCTCTTCGTCGAGTTATGGAGCGTCGCATAGGAAACGGCCAAAGTTTTTGAAATCAAGACAGAGCTCGAGTCAACGGAGTAGTGTGTCGAGCATGACGGATATGCACCTAGATTTGAACCTGGATATGGATCATGATGGAGCAAGCACAATTACGGCGGGAGATGTTGGTGGCGGGGGGGCCTTGTCAAGGTCTACCAGCTTGGGATCCATTGCTTCTGGGGTGACTGGAATCGCTGGAGGAAGCATTTACGGGGATAAAAACAACGGAGTTTCCATGTCCGCAGCTGAAAGAGCTCTGGCCCGCCTTGATGAGGAGGAACGGAATTCGAGAAGGGGCTCTATCGTTGATGATAAGGAAGCGGGTAAAGGTCGCCAGGCAAAAGAGGACTACAAAGAGCCCACAACGCCCACCGACCAAAAACCACCGCTAGAACCCACTGATACCATTATAACTGCACATGTAAAGTCGATACACATACCTGCAACTGTAACACGAGAGTACCATTCCCGCCATCTTGGCGGGATGACTCCCGGAAGTCCATCAAAGCGGACAGGTGCAGCTCCCGTTCTACCACAGGGAAAGAACATGACTCTGAAAGAACAGAGTGCTATCATCGACCGTCTTCAAAAAGAAAACTTCGATCTCAAGATTAAAGTATTTTATCTCAACGAAAAACTCGAGAAACAATCCGACGAGGGAATTAAAGAAATGACAAAGGAGAATGTTGAGATGAAAGTAAAACTTGCCGAAGGGATGAGGGAGCGGAAGTCACTCAAGAGACGGCTGAAAGAGTTAGAGAAAAAGGTTGAGGATATGGGTGGCGAGAAAGAGGGGAGAGAGGACGGCGAAGACGGTGAGATTTGGGAATTAAAGGAACGAGTTGAGAGATATGAGATTGAGATTGAGCAGTTGACTCGCCGGGAGCGGGAACGCGAGGAGAGACTAAGAAACGACATCGGGAGTAAAGGAGAGCCGGCAAGAGCTGAGGATGTTGTGAGTTTGAGAGTGCCTAGCTTTGGTTTTGATTTGACTAACAGCGTCGATAGGAAATGCTTCGTGAATTCCTTGAAACCGAAACCGCACGCAGAGAACAAGTCGACCTTGAGAACCGCAGACTACGAGAAGAACTCTGGAGATTGCGAAACGAGCCAAATAACTCTCACCTGAGTACCGGTAGCACTCGACAAAACTCTGTACGAGGCGGTTCTGAACCAAGAGAGGATGGCAGCTTAATGAGTCAACTCCGTTATGAGAATGATGAGCTCCGTAGAGAAGTTGGTGCCCAGACAAGCATGCTTACCTCTAGGAACCGTGAAAAGGAGAGACTCTACCAGGAAATCGAGGACTTGAAACTACACATGCGGAATGGTGGAATTAGCTCTGCAATGGGTATGTCGGACAGGGGAATGATGAACGACAATCGCTCCGTCATTGGCAGCACCATCCTCGGCAGCGACCGTATCCTCGAACGATCCATCTCTCGTGCCGGTGCTGCAAGTGCAACCGGAACTCATGCTACGAATCTTAGCGAGAGTGAGAGAGATGACTATGAAAACGTCAATGGTGAACTCCGAGACCGTATATCCGAGCTCCGCCTCAATAACCAAGAGCTTAAACTCCAACTCGACGATTGCTACCGTGTACTCCACCAGCGTGAAGAGGAAGCAAAACAGCTCGAAGCTGAGTATGCGGAGGATCTCGAAGTCGCACAGGCAGAAGTCCAGGAAATGCAAGCTGAACGCAACGAAGCTTTGCGCATGCACGAGGAAATTGGATTAGATTTCGAACAGCTGAAGGAGGAAGCTGAGGAGGAAATCCAACGGCTCGAGGAGGAGATGGTTATCCGTGTGAATGAGTTGAATCATGAGCTTAACCGGGTGGAGGAGGAAGCCCGCATGAAGGAAGAAGACTTCAGGGGATTACAGCTGGAGATGAGGAATGTATCTGAAACCGTGGTTAGGTTAGAGGACGCTCAGGAGGAACATGCTGGTGAAATCCAGCGGCTGGAACAGAAAATCGAGGAGTTAGAGAGGACTATACAGGAGAACGAAGAAGAGATGAACGCACTGGAGAACACTCTCAGGGAAGCCAACGAAAAGATCGATATGATGACCGTCCAGAGCGAGAGTGCAAAGGGGGAAATTGCATTCTTGAGGGAAGAGCAAGATGCTGATAAGATCAAAATCGGAGAGTTACAGAACATCATCAAGGGTATGAAGAAGGAGGTCGAAGACGAACGGGAACGTTTCAAAGAGACCCAAGAACAACTGGAGGCCGAGCGTCACGAGCGTGAAAGCTCGGGCGATCAACGTCACCAAGAATGGGAGAAGAAGGTCAATGAAAAAAATAACGAAGTCATGACTGTCAAAGAGGAAGTCCGCAGACTACGTGGTAAAGTTTCCACCCGCGAAGAAGAGGCGAAACAGTGGAAAGAAAAGTTGGAAGACCTTGAGAAGGCTCTCAGAGAAGCTATGGGTGATCTCTCGGGAACACGTTCTGGCATACTTGAGGTAAACTCGCGCGCACCATCTGGTGAAAAGACGAGTCTAATAAAGGACTTGAAACAGTCAATCGTAAACATGCAAAGCGAACTGGAGAGTACCCTGGAGGAACTAGATTACACAAAGAATTTGTTGAGTGAAAAAGACCGGATGTTGAAGGATAGAGAACATCTTTTGGAGACTATGGTTGGTTCCTGCTCATCCGAGTTAGTTTGTGATTTGACTAATAATGAGTCTAGGCACTCGAGTCGAGAAAGCTCTCGGATATGCTTGATAAAGAAAAATCCGGTCGCAAGACAGATCGTGCCACCATTGATACTCTACAAACAAACCATCAACAATCTCGACACAAACTCTCACAGCATCAGACACAGTACACCGATCTAGAGAAAGCTCGGAGCAAAGATAACCGTACTATTCAACAGCTTGAGCATCAATATCGCGAGCAGCTCGCAGAACGTAATAATCTCCTCATCCAAATCTGGCAACGTCTCAGTGCCCTATGTGGACCAGATTGGACTCAACGCAATAGTATTGTCCAAACTACCACCGGCCCTGGCGGTGCTACCGGAAAACAGAGTATGGAAACTGCAGTTGTTGGTGCTCTGCAAGGATTCCAGAAGAATATGCTCTGTGGGGTCAAAACCATCGAGAGTATTGTGGCTGGATTCAAAACTCGCTGCAGAGGCGTTGAGAGGGATCTGTGGAAAGAATATCAGGTCGTTGAGAATGCCCTTGAGAGCCGCACCCGTCGTTTAGAACGACTCGAAAATCTCGTTCGCGGCGGTATCGGTGAGCAAAGCGGCATGAGAACTGAGGTTGCAAAGCTCAGGACGGAAAACAGACTCTTGAAAGCTGAGCTCAACGTTATGAAAAACGAACAGGCAGCCGCGCAACAGACGTCGCCCCTCCATAGGTCGAAGACTGTTGCTAGCTCTTCTTCAAACACTATTGTCGCTTCAACCCCAACAGAGCGGAAACATCGTCATCGACATCACCGTGAGAAGGACGGAGATTCTAAGTCTGATTTCCTTAACGAGAAACAAGAAACAGCCCTTGTTGCCCCTCTCACTCCTGGCATTATGACTAGAACCGCTTCTACAGCCTCTGTGCCGGTGTCAACCGACTCGACAGATGTCTCCGAGAAGCGCTGGATCTTGCGCCTTCGTGAGCTTGAAAAGCGTCTCAAGGCTGAGCGCGAGGCAAGACTGCTCGACCGCTCTGCGGCGAAGAAGAAGGTTGATGAGGCGCGCGGGCAACGTGAAGAGTTGAAAGCTGAACTCGAGAGAGAACGAGTGAGTAAAATTGGGAGTTGACTCTCAAGGGCCATGAGGAAGGGGGATAAGGGCGGAAAGCAAGTTGAGCGCATTGAACCGGTGGCAGAAAGGCCCGTAAAAGATCAAACGCCACCGGTCATTGTAGTTGATAAGGCGGAAGGGGACGATGGTGAGAGAGAGAAAGACCGAGAAAAGAAGAAGAGGAAAAAACACAAAGAGGGGGAGGGAAGCAGTGAAGGGAAAAAACACAGAGATAGAGATGAGAGCGACGGCAAAAAACACAGATCTCGAGAAGGCCGTGAGGGGAAAAAACATAGGGATGGAGACGGCAGCAGCAGAGGCAGCAGCAGCAAAGAAAAACATCGGGAACGAAGCGATGGCAAGAAACATCGCGAAAAGAGTGAGGGCGGAAAACATAGGGAGGGCAGAAGTAGAGAAGGTAGAAGAAGTAGGGAAGATAGGGAGCTCGAACAAGAGTAATGATTGTATGAGATAAGTAGTTTTTACAAGGGAAGAGGTGTTTTGGGCGGTGTTATGGGGTTCTTCTTTTTTACTCTCTTTTTTATTCCTCTTTCTGTTTTACTGCGTAGCCATTAGTTGTGTTTTATTTTACTATTGAGGGATGGATATTTTTTATCTTACTTTTTTCTCAGTGAACTTTTAATGATCGAGGAGGAGAGGTGAGAATTATGTCTATCAAGAATTGTTTAATATGCGTTCACAGCAAATAATATGTAGTAATGATAGTTCTTTTCCAACAGAAGGCTTTTAAGTATCTAGTAAACACTTGAGGCATGCATATAGTTAAGACCAATCAGGCCAGATGCACATTCAGCTCTGCCCGTATTGGCTGGCCTTGCGTTAGGGATTCGGCCTCGAGGGGCGACCATAAATTTCAAGCCGCTTATCCTCCTGAACACCTGGGCCGCACTTGAGTAAATACGTGAGGAATATATCCCACCGTAAGCATAGAAATATCGAGAGAGAATGAATCAAGTGATTCTTTCGACCCTGATGCCGTTTTCAAACGGTGACACCTTAAATTTCTCACAGCCACTCTCCAGTCCTCCAAGAACACAATTTCACACCTAGATTGGTTAGTTGTGGAAAGTCGGAAATCTGGCCTGCAACCTCGTCCACGGATGGTGTATGTTAATTTGGCAGCAGTACTGTGTTGAAAAAAGTAGCGGTGCATTTACTCGCAGGGCCGGGGATGGGCCTAGCGGGTAGGGTATGTGTATAGTCCGGTTGTCCAATTGATGTGAAGGTTAGCAGAAGCCCGATCCACTTGAATGAAGATATGTAGTCCTTAACTTTTTGCTTTCAAATGATGCATCGATGGGGATTCATCGGTGAACTAGTGATCTTGACGTTAGTCCAAACTCCGGAAACACTTGTGTGCACTCCAACGTCCATACAGTGGGCCTTATAATTTTATTACCGAGAAGTCGATCTGTTTCGAAACTAATTCAAGGCGCGGCAGCTGGTAGATGTTTGATCACTCCTTTGTATGGTTCTTTGTTATGCTTGGTCCGAGGGGCAAGAGGGGCTTGAACATTCAAGTTGAGGAACACGCTGTATTGTATTGAATTGACCAACTGAATACATAGCTTAAATATATCCCGACCAATATACTAGGAGTAATAAAGTACTATATATCATACCTAAAGCCTAACATATCTTGAGAACCATACGAGACAGATTAGACAAATACTACGAAAAGAAGTTACCCACCTACACGAATACACTACACCTATCAATAAGTTATACACTTCAACATCACAATGCGCCTCGACACTATCCTACTATTTACCTTTCCACTAGTGAGTCTTGCTCTCACCAACCCACAGCGCTTCCACCCCCGGGACGATCTCCGCGGTGATCCAGAAGATACGGTCAAGTGCGAAACCAGCAAAGGCTCCCCTATGGTTTCTGAGATAACCAAGGCCGCCGATGAGCTCAAAAATAGCGATAATTACGATCTTAGATGCGTGCAGAGTAACATCTTTAAGAGTCACTGCACAGAGCTTGCAAAAGATGGCAGTTCCAGAATCGTGCTCTGCGGATGGGGCGTGAGTGCCGGTTATTATATCTGGTGTCGGGAGGCAGCGATGGCTGCGAAGAGGATCATGGATGACTGTAAGAACGACGGACGAGTTGGTGGGCAGTATATGTTTAAGCATGCGCCTTTAATCGTTAAGCTAGTCAGTTATTAGTAAGAATGTGGGTGAGTTAAAGGGCTTAATTTTTATCGATGAGATATATTTTACGTGTTTTCCTCTTTAAATCGCTGATTAGCTGGAGTCTGGAAGATTAATTATAAAGAGAATTATAGAGTAAAATTTAACTTGATTTCCCCATAATATTATTATCTCTCGCGCCGATTCAGATCGACCTTTGATTACTGTGCTGGATGCACTTGCGATCTTGCTTGCTGTATGTCGCTGGCAGCTGATGGGCATCTAATTAGAGGTAATGATAGAGATTCGGTCGTAGGTATAAGAACGGATATTATAATGAGGAATTGTCTGCCGGTCCTCACGGTGTAGAAAAGCATCCTTCTAGTGGATGTACATGTACGTTGTAGTAACATGTACACATATTGTGTTTACGCTAGTTGGGTGTTACATGCAGCAAAGGAGAATGTAGAGAACACGTGGAGTATTAATGTATCAAAGGAGCGTGTCATTCTAAGGCATAAATTAGAAGGAGGGTGTCCATCCAATCCGACTACACGCACCATGCTCGATACTCCCCTTCTCCATATACATCATCAAACTTAGGCCCCTCACCTCACCACCCATTCATAGTTCATCACTCGACCCATGCGTTGACCAGGGCGATCCACTTTAATCTTTATCTACTCTACACCCCGTTCTCGTCTCTCTGTATCTTCCGATTGGACGCCTCCACTATCATTATTTGCATGTCATCCAATGCACTGATCCAGTTCAATCAATCTTATCCAACCCGCCCAGCCGCCTATACTCTCCAATCAATCCATCAGCAAAGAAACAAACCGGAGACATGGTTTCATGCACGTCATTCCATAAATGTAAATGCGCAATAATGATTAGCGTGTTTTTATGCAGGGCAATTTGGACAACCGCACTAGGTATGTATGTAGGCAATCCAGGGTGAATATTTCGATGAAGCGTGGGGTTGGTGGGGTGTGGCTCGTATCGTGGCTAGATATTACTGACTGTCCGTGGATGGTTACAGAAGCTTAAAATATCTAGATTAAAGCTTGTGTTTTCCTGAAAGTTTTATACAGATATAATTCTTTTATGTCATGGTAATCTTTACAAAATGCCATCCCTTCGTTTCTTTTTAATCTACTCATATCGTCATAGTAACGTCCTCCACCCCTAATCATCCTCATGAAAAAATACAACTCCGTTTCCACCCAACCAACCGACCAACAAAGAAAAATAAATACCACCCCGCCTCAGCATAGAACATATGGAAATTGGTATCATTAATGCGGGCATTGCAGCGTAAAAACAAAACGAATGCGAATCGAATAGGAATTGTGAATGTTGGCCTTAATCGAATTAGTATCCGCGTCGCGCTCGACTGATGACCTGCCACGAGAGCAAAATCATCCATACAAAGAGGAATCTATTTCAATATCCGTCAGTTACACAACATATACAATCTACCCGGGACATTAAGCACTCACGTAGCAATCATTTCCATGGCAAATGTCGTCTTCCACAAGTTACACACAGTCTCCTGCTGTATCCTCGCCAACGTGTATAGGCTCCCACCACCCCAGTAATCATCGTTATACACGTATCTCACGCAGTTATCATTGATGCTTCCCAGTGGCCCCCACAGCTCAATCGACGCCTTGACAAGGCCTGTGAGCCAAAGAACAAACATCACAAAGGACCCTATCATGACTACGATTGGAAGCAAGAGGTGTACGACATAGAGTCCGACGACTGTGAAGACGAAAAAGATGGTTACGATGCATATGGCGAGGAGGAAGTAGTAGTACCTGTCATTGACATCGTTAGCCTCGACAACGCAGTACAGCGACTATTGCGCAAGCGCTAAGAACTGATACTAACCACGGCACGGCGACAAAGAGCTTTTGCTGAATATACGTGAAGTACGCGAAGGAACCGAGCACGATCGAAGCGCAAACAAAGAGGATCAACAGTATGATACCGAGGAGTAGTTCCGGCCAGCGGTATCGCCGCAACTTGGCGGGACGTTCCACGATCACCTCGCCCATTGAGCTGGTGAGGGTGGTGCCCGTTGCCGTTGTCGTCGTTAGGTCCGACGTTGCGGCGGTATTGAGGGGGTGGAAGGAATAAATGGTGATTGATGTTTACTGTCGCGGACTTAAAAACTGCTCGCAGTGGACGGAGCAGCCAAAGAAATCACGAAACGTAATACAGAGTGACAACACAGAAGGGGGTGAAGAATGATGATGGATATGCCCAGGAGGAGGAAACAAGAGAGAAAGAAGGGAGGGGGTAAGAAGGAGGGGGGACGAAAGGTATTTCACTCGCACCTTTGATTGTTGTGTGAAAACTGCGTGGCAGGAACGGAGCGCCGTGTATGTGTGTACACAGACAGATAGATGCCTTTACTCCCAGTCTAAGGTAGGCGGTTGTCAAGCCCAACCACCTGAATTTCTGTTTTCCCCCTCAACCCCACCCCTGTCAGTTTAGAGGATGTATCTGCTTTGCATGTATTTACCATCCCTGTTTCTTGCTTCTTCTTGCACTCTTACGGCTTACCAAAGGCACAGTTACGAGAAAATATAGGGCAGGCCGCAGAGTTACTGTACTCCCACATCTCAGCCGCGTAATCCATAGTCACCACGTCAACAGACAAAAGCTCCTTTATGGATAATCGGCCTATCTACACCATAGATGTGTGCTCGATCTGTTGTGTTTCATACGCGAGAGTACAGTACTGGCGTCTCTAGAGTACAACCAAAGGCATAGACAGACAACAAACTACCAAATTGTCACTAGCTGATCCGAAGCATTACTCGCTACCTACTAATATTCCAGCCTAATACCCTACCGGGTAAGTACTAGGACAACTCAACACAAGCGAAAAAGGGGTCCTTGTTAGATTACAGGCGCAGGCGTGGATCCATGTTTCAAGCTGAACGGGACAGAAAGAGAAGTCTTGGCGAAATCCCCCGCACTCACACAAGTGCCCCCATTGGCTTGGCGGGGTGAGTGATGGTTGATGAACCAGGGAAAGTGAGGCTTAGTGCCGAATCATCTTTCATGACTGATGAACCGTTTCATCTCAATTATCGTGGCTGTCGGATTCAACAATACACGTTACTCCAACAATTGAGTCCGATTCGCAATCCAACCGTCTATGATAATGCGGAGTGCCGACTTCCCGTTTTGTGCTCATTGATAATTGGAGTGTGGGGTGCATTGTCGAATCATAAGCCTCGCGAGGACGGGTGAACACCTCGAGCCCGAGGGGAACATGCATATTAAAGATATGGAGCACGATACGCCATACATCGGAGAAGGGGTATAACTACTGTACATAATGCAGGTACATACTCTCTTTAATACTCTAAAATACTTAGTATTGAGAACTAATGCGCTACAGTATGAGAAGTTACGGCACAACAATATAATTCTGACATGAATTCTATGACGTGTCTCTAACCCTTTCATGTATAAAAACGAATTTTTACCTATGGTTTCAACGGGGAGGCATGATTTCATCCTGCAGATATCACCTTGAGGTGACGCGACTTGGAAACATGTTAACGTCAGGCCACCATCATGTTGCGACGAAGTCCCGAGGCTCATCCTCACAAAGTCGCTTGACTAGTTGTGATAGCTTTGATACTTCTAGTCCACTAAAGAAGACAGATATGAAATCACGCAGATCTAGGGTTCTACGATAACTAATATACGAAGCGAGGGTACAGTTTCGGTATCGCTGTGTGAGAAACAGCTACCTACTGTAGATGGCGGCGGTCGAGTGATGTGTCATGAATGAGTCACTGTGAGAAGGGATGACTAATCGCTCCCTTCTGGAACCAAATAAATTTAACGTGACTACGATAAATCATTTACTTCAGATCTTAGTCTTTAGTATATAATTGCTCTCCTCGTTGACATATTATATCCCTCGATAGCACTAGCGATTCCGACTGGAATTTCGGTCACGTGTATATAGGTCAAATATTGCGTAGGTGAGGGTAGAAATTGGTATTAATAAAAGCAATAGAAATCACGACTAGAATTTTTTAGTATAATTTGCTAAAACTGTTGAGCATGCCATATTCCTCGATTAGGGCATCATTCATCCGGCCGTCTAGTTCATGTATTCAATAACGGGATCTGCGGAAGACAGTATGGATTTTGTAGCTAAGATATACTAAATGAAAACTGTAGAACATACAGAAGTCTGTTGAAGATCATTAACAAAAGAAATTGTTTAAGACTAAACAAATGATTTAACTTCATCAAGTGATGATAGCTAACACTGGTAAGGAAAGAGCGGGGGTGAGACAAAAATAAATAAAGAGAATGTAAAGGAGAACAGGGCAGATGAGTAACACCAGCCAGAAAACTTAGGCGACAGGACCGGAAGTAGCATCAACAACGTCATTTTTCGCTACCTCAGATGCCAAATCTGTACTCGATAACAGGGACCACCTGTCCGTGCGCCCTTCTCAGATGCTGCAACATATTGTCCCTACGGGAAAACCCTTCTTCACCAACCCGTTTACACCCCGCGATTTCACAATCGACCAGTGACGTTTTGAGGCCATGCTTTGTCCTACAGTGGCGGTTGAAGTCGTTCTTATTAGTGAAGGCAGAGATGTCTGCACAGTTGCCGTTTAGGCAAGTGATTTGAAGCCTTCTTCCGAGACGTTGACAGATGTGTGGACCGCTATGCGTAGTAGTTGGGTTAGTATGTTGGAAGTGAGATATTACAATCGGGACTTACTTTAGATCTCCTTTGCATTTTCCGTTGCAGGCGGCAGCGGGGTTTCCGGGAGATGCGAGTTGTGGAGGGTCGAGAGGATCCTCAACTGGCTCAACCTCGGCGCGGGGCCCTGGTGCTTGAAGCTGCTCATTTGTCACGAAAATGTCGGGTCGGGATCTAGATAGATCGACTTGTACTAGGTCATATTTAAAAGCATCGTAGCTTGATTCGTCTTCAAGTAAGGCTGCATAGAGAGCTTGATTAGATGCGATGGTTACTCTAAAGTCCCAAGAGTTTCATATATCAGCAGGACTAAAAAGAAAAAAAAAGTACCTATTGGCCTGCTCCATCATGTGGAACAAGGATGCCAAAAGTGTAATGCGCGAGCAAGGCTTCAAGTACGAGCTTCCGGAAACTTTAGACGGGTGGTTGGAAAAATTGGCAGCAGTTTGATAGCTTTGCTGAGAGCGAACACGGGGGAATTTTGCCCACCTTTATTTCCTAACTGGCTACTATCGTCTAAAGTTGCAAGTTTTGGCAGCAAGCCTGACGAGCCTGCATGAGGGCAGTGAATTGGATTGGATCATGAATTTCTCAGTGTAACACAGCTTTGCATGGAGCTGTTTCTTTCGACCTAAAAGGTTAGCCTAGCTACTGAGGATACCAATGATAATTAGGTCGTCATGTACCGTTATTTAAAAAATCCCATGCGAATGGAGAGTAGGTACATAGCACAGCCATAAAGCGAATCGAATACCCATACGTAATAACACACTACTCTCGTACCCATCCCCTTTGGTGCTCTAACAATATGCTTGAAAATAATTAATAGTCAAACACAACCTCCGAAAATACTGAATACTTAGGTCTGGGAACGAGACTATCTACATACACTGGAGATCATGGAAGCAGAAACTCAAAAACGGTATGAAATCATATATATGGCCATAATTCTATCCCATCCCGAGCTTTAGCAACTTATAATTATCACGTAGAGAAAGATCCTACCAGTTTCCTTACCATGATTAAACAGATATATTCGTGACAGGAAAGTTCTACTCTAGATAAATAATTACTTGGCTTTATAGTTCATGCAGCTTACCTTCATTTTACACCCATTCGATACTCCCTATCATAACTTTCCCGGTTTGCACCTTTATATGCCTTTATGCCCACTTTTATACCTTTGGGGGTTTACCTCCCTTTTCGAACCATTTATATCCATTTACACTCATTATTCGCAATGAAATTGTAATCTTATTATCTTAATGAATGTGGATAAAAATCAAAAACAAATCAAAGCATCCACCCATACCACTCACAGCTAGGAGTACCTCGGTTTCACTGTACCATCTCTTCTTCCCTTTTTTTTTTTTTTTTTTTTCTTTTTCCCCCTCCCCCTGCATATTCCGAGCGCGATACGAAAGCTATTCGAAAGCATAAGAGGCACAAAAGTCAGAACTAAAAATGCACATAGCTCAATGATAAATATCTCAGGACATATCGACGGTTTCTTCCCTTCGAAATTCCAAACGAGCTAGAAATCCACCCAGTCGTAAAACAAAAGACGTGTCCAAAAGAGAAAAGAAAAACCGGAACAAGAACCACTTCCAAAACGTCCATCAAGAAGAAAAAAAAGAAAGAAAAAGCAGTCTTATACATACTCAAGTCGGTTATCACTACTAATTTCTTTGACCCCAGGCCTGCCTCTCCTCCTCCAACAACTCAACGGCATCGTGAACTCTTCCTTCAGCAATCTGGGAGTAAACTCTCAGTCTCTCAAGTGCACTTTCACTTTCATCCTCAGCATACCCCATTTCAAGTAGACGTGCAACGCATTCATCCACATCATTATCATTGCTAGAACCAGAGTTTTCCTGTAGATGCACTTCCTGTTTCTGCTTTTGGAGGAAGGACCCTTGGGAAATAGGGCGGGAATAGTAATCCCAGTCGTTCCCCTTGTTTTCTGTAATATTGTCTTCCAATCTGTTATTCCTTCTCCTTCTGCGTTCAGCAAAGGGGTTGGTCTCAGTGGCTCCCTGGTCACTACCCAAAAGGCTACTTCTAGCTTCCTTGGTAGCAAAAACCCCCATCGAGTTCGCACGATGTAAACCACGTGGAGAAAATGCATCCATCGGCGCAGGGGGAGGGGGAGGGGGGATAAGAACCGCCGACGGCCACTGGCCTAGAAGCGAACTTGATTGCGACTCTTTAACATTGCGGGTATCTAAATCAGTTGGCTGCACAGTCGGTGAGGGCTGTCTTGGAGGTGTTGCAAAAGGATTTTCCCCAATATCTACCGAAGATTTATTTTCTTCCAATGGAGCCTTGGGGGATCGGATTTCAGTTGTAAATCTTCGTTCGGTAGAAAAGTTCGGGACTGAGGCTTGCGGCCTGAGTCCTCCAGATTGGACACCTGGGGAGGGATTAAAGCTCGAAAGAGATGGGAAACGACGCATCACATGTTGAGCGGAGGGAATTGACGGGATACCAACTGAATAATTGGGAGAAGGCCATTGCTCTCTGCTCCCTTGGCCCGCGGGGCGTGTGTGTATACTGTGGGACATTGTATGGGCGCGACGTATAAATGGGAAGATAGATGGGGGATTTCTGGTACTTTCACCCTTTTCTTGTTGGTCTCTGTTCACTTGTTCAGCGCCGGTTTTCTCAGCCTGGGCCTCGGCACTAGCACCAGAACTTTCGGCCACCATATCTGGGTTGATAATGTCATCGAACAGATTGGATCCACACCATCCAGAGCTAGAAGCAGGTAGAGGTGGCGCAGACGGCAGTGGGTATGAACACCATGATGGGGAGACCGAATGGGCGGTAGCAAGGTATTGACGAACATGAGGTGGTGGTGGCGGCGGCGGCGGCGGCGGTGGTGGTGGATGTACGGGGTGTTGGTTTGATCCAGATCCAGGCATTCCAGGATACTCTGGGTGAGGTGGTGGCCCTCCACGAGGTGGACCACCGTGGTGGCCATGGTGGGGACCGCCATGAGGTGGTGGAGGACCGTGGTGAGGGCCACTATGAGGTGGTGGGGAACCATGGTGAGGACCACCATGATGCGGCCCGGGCCTACCATGTCTGGGATGTCTAGGATGGAACATATGATGTCCTGGCGCCCAATGGGGGTATGCGCCAATTCTTGCGGGTCCATCAACATGTCCACCTTGGGGTCGGAGAGGATCAAAAGGGCGGCGACGGCGGTGTCCACCGCGTGATAGGGCGCCAGGAAGATCTAATTCATCGTCCGACGAAGAGTCAGGAGATGAACTAGACTGACGGACTGTAGCATCTACGCCACAAGCGGGAATGTTGACAGCATCAACGGCGTTACGAGTGCTAGTCGATCCTGAATCCTCATTGGCCTGATTGTTTTGGGAATTGACCTCTTCTCCGGAGCCAGCTTTCTCTGTCGCGACCTCTTTTTCCACCTCCTTTCCCTTGGCTAGACCTGTACTGACCTCACTTTCATCTGGAACCTCCTCTGCCTTGCCACTTACCGATCCAAGTCCACTAACATGACCAAGTGCCCTGTCAACCTCTTCTCTAGCAACGCCAGCTCCTTGAACAGCAATATGACCAACAGTCTCAGCCAATTCCTTCATCCTTCGTCCAGTTGCCTCAAGCTCTGAAACATTCATCTCCCTGGTAGCCTGGGCTGCACCTCGAGCGGCAGCAGCAGCCTCAAGAGCCACCGCTTGCAGTTGGGAAGTAAATGAACCGATGGCAGAATGAAGTGCTGTGTTGAGAGCCTCAACAGTTGGTTGAGTATGTGACGGAAGATCGTTACGAATTTCAATAGCAACACGCCCGACATTTTGAGCAATGGTACGAAGCGTCTGCCCAAGGATTACACTTGGGTATTGCTGTGGAATACTGTAAATAGGGCTAGGTGAGCGCGCAGGAGTAGCTTCAGCCTCAGTTGGGGGAGGCGAAACACCCGCCGTAGCTTGGAAAATCTTTTGAAGTTCATTTTCGAACATGCTGAGGAGTGGTTCTTGAGAGGGTTCTTCTTTGACTTCTGAATCTTTATCCTTCGGGCTCACGGTACCATCATTGCTAAAATCCACTGATTTACCACTATTAGAAGCGATGTCTTCTACCTCCTCTCTTGCCTTTCCTTTGCCCTTTTCTTTTGCAGGAGCATCACTATCGGGTAGGATAATCTGCCTCCATAGTTTGAGTGCGGTCTCGTAATCTGGATGAGAAGGCGAGACTAAAAGGTCAAAGATGACTGGCGAGAGCGGCTGTAATTCATCAACGCGTGCGACAAGCTCATCCATTGAACCGACCTAAAATAGCATTAGCTAGGGAAGCCTCGTAAAAGTGAAAGAAGAAAAAAGAAAAAAAATTAAGAACTGAAAAAAAGTATGCACCGGAACAACTTATCGAAAAAAGAAAGAACGTACTAAGGCGTTCAGTAAAAGGTCGTGAAAATAAGCGTTGCAACGGGGCGACTTTTCACGACCTTGTACTGAACGCCTGAGTAACGAGGATAACAAATGCCAAAAAGTTCTCGTGTCAACATGCTAATAGCCCGTTCAAGTGATCAAACAAAAAAGCTCGCAAAAAGATAGAGATTATGGTGAAGTTGTTACTCACAGTGATAATTTCGCCATCATCATCGTCCACATAACTCAAAATTGTCTCCGGATGTTCACGAATAAGCTGCTCATACTGAGATTCATTATCAAGCTGGACGTCGGCCCAACCATCTTCGGCTCCGGAGATCGAATCAGACGAGCAGCAACGAAGCCCACGGACTTGAAAAGTCGGTAGCATGATTGGGTCGCGTACTGTTTCTCGCTCGCTTGATTGATTGATGGATTTCTGATTGAGCTATATGATAGCTCGCTCAACGACAGAGAAGAAAAACCCCCGTTGTAGGTTGCTTTTAACCGTCTGTTCGAAAGCGATTTACCGATGAAGACTCAGCCTTGTTTGCAAGTTGTTGTCTGGTTTTCGAACGGAGGCTGTTCTACACGGTCGGATATTCGATGTATCGAAACAACGTTCCAACAAACGGACGATGAGGCAACAAGAGAAGAAAGAATATCCCAAGAAGAATTGTACGATAACTGGCAATGGTGGGGCGGGGAAGGCTAGAAAGCGAGGTATGTATGTGGTTGTGGGTGATGACAGCGGAGATTCAACAGTTGGAGAGTCAGAGGTAGGTAAGGTAAGGATTGTCTTCGTCAGCTCACTGGACTGCATCCAAAAGCTCTGGTAGGTCCAAAAGTGGCCGCGCGGCGCCTCTCTTTGCCACTTTTCATTGTAGGTTGCCTAATCTTGAGCGCCACAATGTGGGGTATGTAAACAGTAGCACCGTACCCGCCAAGTCAATGCTTTACATCCGGTATATCAAATGTTTGGAACTCCTGGTAGTGTCGGGAAGAGTCATCCGTACCTGTGTTTCCCGGATCCCTGCCGCCAACAAACGTGTCTCAAATTGCAAAGCCCCAAACCGCGAGAACTGCAAAGTGTTCAAGGCAGCCTAGGCTCACGATCGAGCACACATGTGTGAGAAGAGAGGTCTACTCTTGGTACTACGATACGAGCAGGTACGTGCTTACATGGTACGTACTCTACTTGGCATCGAATAACAACATGAACACGTCGTTCTAAGGCGTGGCCACTGTTGTAGGAAGGAGTAGACCGTGAGGCTTATCAGCTAAGCTATTGTGGAAAAAACCCGTTTCGCCGAGTGAGATACTATGAACGTCACCGCACATGGGAGCCAAGGTCCCACCCTCGAGATCCACAAGCTTCAAGTTAAATGAGAGAGTTACTGTCAGTGAGAAAGTCTATGCTGACATAAGTATGGGTGATATCATGCATCGTGGTTGCCCGGTGAGAGACTCGGTGAGTTGAGGAGCTACAAATGTGGATTGGGTAAACTGATCTGCCAGATATGATCCTGGGTACATAGAAGATCGGCCTTTAGATAAATGTATGTGTTTATCGAACTTCTGTGAGAAAGCTATGAGATTGGAGCTTAAGATACAATTAGATAAACCGAATGGCCTACTAGTACGCTTAGAGCTACTCAACGCCAATAGACCTACTGTCGTTTCGTGCTTCTACTATAATATGCACCGATCTGGTGATAATATGAGCTATAATTATTAATGTCATTATATATTATCTACGGTACTAGATTCACGGAAGACGTTGTACTTGGAGGTATGGTGTGGACCGTAGTAGGGTAGAGCACGCTAGGCTCACTGCATATGTAATCCACCTCGTAAAATTCAAGAACCTACATGTACCTTTCACATGTGGATAATTAATATCAGCCAAATTCGTCACAATCGCAGAGGTACACAAGATCATTGAGACATATCGCTAACTTCATGATCTATTGTATTTCCTATGGCGGCGTACTCTACTAGCTAGGGTTGAATCACGGTAGAGGTGCATCGAAGAAGGCTATTGGTATGATTTTATATTCGGGTGAGGAGTTCTCGAAGCACTTCCGGGTAGCTATCCGACAATGGTTCTGCGGTCTCTGAGTGGTTGATTCCTAGTATTGACAATCAAAAATCGACATCAGTCCAGAATTCAAATTGCACGAGTTGCTGTAATGAGGTAGAACATCCCCATGCCTAGGGCTTCATGATATATTCTTTCCCCATCTAGAACTCTGAATTATGTGGCGTATCTGTCAGGGCTCGAGGCTGATGCTCTCATAGGTCACTGGATATTATTTGTAATTTCTGATACTCTAGCACGCGCGGCAATTAATCCTGGTTACATCTGGTGGTTGTTGAAATATGCTATTCCACTTACCTGAACCGCTCTAGGCATGCAGAGAGCTAAAGAGCTTCATGGCCTGCATGACATTGAGCTTCGCGAGAATTTTAAGGTGAAGTCAAAGTTCTCAGGAAAAAGTTAATTGAGCTAGGTATTCTCCAAGTTTGGTACGCATGAATAACGGCTGCAGGTACATACGTTATTTCTCCGGGAATACAAGGTCTCTCACCTGGGGAAGGGAGGCACAGGCTTCAGCTACCAAAGTGTTTGCCATCTGCGCCAGGTTAGTATCATTCTATGTATGCTAGATTTCCGAGTGGACCTGAAACTCTACCAGACAGTGGTTCCAGCCCCAGTTTCGGCAAATTGTTAATTATAATGGCAACACATTGATAGGTGAGTTCTTCTCGGCTATCGCAAGCCACCTCGGCACCGACTCTCTCTATGCGCCGTGAGGCAGGTAATGACCCCTAAAGTAGGAAAGGCCCAGTATCATATGTATTGACCGGAACTCCTTGTTGTTTCCCTTTTTCTCTAAACCCGAGTCCCCTCTCCAGTCTGTCCTTTCTTTTCAAGAAGGCGCTGCACTGCCTACTGCTTCAATCATTCGTTTCGTTTCTTTCCTGTTTTGATATTTACTTACATTCCGACCCCACCGATCGCGAGACACACATTTCGCTCTTCAGCTCATGGAAAACCTTACTTCATTAATATTCACTCAGCTTTCATTCTTTTACCCCCCTTCATCCTTTTAATACTCTAGTCTACCCCGCGTAACTAGAAGCTCATCGGGTTCAGGAAACGCGGTTGACACTCCAGGTGATACGCCGGACGGATTTAACACCTGCAAGCACACGAGGCGCGCGAGAATTTTGACGGACACACCTTGAGTAGGGGAACATACCTGCAGGCTGTGTCACAGTGGGCAATTGAGTGACAGCTACCGCCATCGGAAAATTTTAATATTTCCTTTTTCCTCCTGATATTTATCCAGACAACGGCCGGCCCAGATTATCATCATATCTAAAAGTCACATATATCTAGAGAGGCCTTCCCAATCATGCCTCCAACCATAGGTATTTTCTCACGACGCAAATGTAGCGGTGACAAATCGCCCAAAGCTACGCTGTGCCCCCCGCAATCCGATCCCTACATCCACATGGGGACAACCTCCTCTACGAGCGCGGTTGATACCCTCCCCCCCCATCTCCCGCAAGTTCCACAGCCACCGCATTCTGCCCCACTTCTAGTGCCCCCTAAAAAGAAGAGCCTCCCAAAGCTCCCGCAGCCCGTGGCTTCCGGATACGCATCCGAGAGCACCGGACTGGTGTTTGCGCCCCGCCTCAACCGTTCCAAGACATCAACCTTCGATGAGCCTCCTCCCTCGGCGCGGGGCAGCACCCACAGTAGATCAAAGACTTCACTCAACAGATCATCAAGCACAGGCCCAGGAGGAAGTCGGAGAACAAGGTCATTCGATCAGAATCAGCCCATGATGGACTCTTTCCCAGCTCCTCCCGGTCATCCCCAAATAATTTACCCAGCTCCCCCGCACTCGCCGGTAAATCGGAGCGCGCCTCGTAATAGGGTCCCGGTCCCGCGGCGGCCCTCGACGTCGCAACAGCAGCTCTATTCACCCGTGTCGCCGCTGCAAGGTTTGCAGACAGTATACTCACCCGTATCGCCGCTGTATCCGGCGAGTCCACCTTTGTCACCGGAGGATGCGGCGGAAAACCCACAGCTTGGCTACAATGCTATTGGCGCGGCGGATTATGGAGGAACGGGGCAGCTGGATTTGTCGAGGGAGGTTGAGGAGCTGAAAAAGGTTTGATATTTTTGTATTCCTTTTGCTCCGTGGGTCTTGAGGCTAATGCGAAAAATCAGGCGATATATCTTCGCGATAACGTGATTGCGAAATATGCCGCCAACTTTGACATCGATCAGGTCATCTCAGCCCCGCCGATGCAATGCGAGGTATTTACCGCTATCTGTAACTCCAAGTCTCATCACTAATAGCCTTCATAGAACCAGCGTGTAAACCAGATAATCTCCTGTCGAGTCCGAGACGTCCAAGCGCCCCATCACGATCAGGAAAACCAACCCTTCCAGCCACTCCACAGTTTAAACAGTCCCAAGAGAGAATCAAATCCCGAAGACCTTGAGAAGATCCAAAAGCTAAAACGCCTAGAGCGCGAACTCGTCGACGCAGTCCAAGGGAAAGAGCGAGAGCTCGAATACCTACGAAACCACAGCCAAGGCTATCAAGAGAGGCTCTCGGCCCTAGAAAGAACCATCGCACAAAAAGATGAAGAGCTCGAGAATGCCCGACTTAAGCTCCATGAAGCAAACCGCCACCGAGCCACCCCGTCTATGGAAGGCATCTCCGAGATGGGCCTGGCCGATATCGGGCGAAAGCTCATGGAGGAAATCAGGCGGCGAGAGAGAGCCGAAAAGAAGCTGGCAGAGATGCTTGTAAAGAATAGATCAGACCTGGAAACGGTCTTGATGGAAGAGGAGCGGAAGAGGGGCGACATCAGAGCGGCCGTCTGGAAGGAGTTTGAGCAGAATCTCCAGAGCGAGGAGCGTAGGAGGGAGGAGATGCAGAAGAGGTCAAAGGAACACCTGGACCACGTTCTGGCGGAGGAGGAAAAGAGACGGGCAGAGCTGAACTGGCTATGCGGCGAGAAGATCGAGAACACCGAGCTCTTGAGGCGTAGCGAAGAGGAGGAATACAAGCGGAACCTGGCCGCGTTGCGGGAGGAGAAAACACGACTAGAGAAACAGGTAAAAGATAGTGCGGAAGAGTCGGAGCGGAGTAGACAGTCTGTTCGCACCCAGAGGGATGCGAACGAAGAGCTTCTTGACATGACAAAGAGGATTAATACTCGTTTGGGGGAAGAGAAAAAGAAGAATAGACTCCTCGAGGAGAAGATGAACCAGATCTCCGAGGACGCACTGAACAACGTCTCAGGCGCAAACCGCGAGGTTTCCATGTTGAAAAACGTGATCGAGGACAAGGACGCACAGATTCAATACTTTGAGCGAGAGCTTGCGGCAATCAAGGCTGAAAGGACTGGCATGCAAGAAGCTTGGGGAGGGCTAGAAAGCGAACTGGAGGAGTCCCGAAAAGCTCTTCTGGATCGCGATGAAATGGTGAAAGGTCTCGAGGAGGAGAAATCTGGGGTGGCAGATAGATTAGAGGCATATCGGAAAGAGCTGGAAGACTTTAAACAGCAGGTCAGCACTGACGACCAGCGAGCCAGGATTCCCGAGATGCAGGATATGGTTAAGGTCATGGAATCGATGAAGGGCGATATTGAACTCTACAAACAGGACGTGAGGGGATACAAGAAGGACGTCAAGAAACGAGACAACCTCATCAGAGACTTGAAACGGAGTGTTTTCGAACTAGAATCGCTTCTAGAGAAAAAAACATCGGAAGCGAGGGCTCTACAAAACGCTCTCGACGCCCAGGGGGGTTACCGAGCAGACTCTCCAGCCTCCATGGATAGCTCTGGCACCGAGTCAAAGTCCACATCCCCTCTCCCTGACGGCACCGCAATGCTCAAATCCAAGATCCAAATGTACGAGAAGGAGTACCGGACAATCTACGAGGAACACGAGGCTCTCAAGAGAAAGCACGAAATGTTCAGCGCCCAGCAGTCGCTCATGCTCGCAGAGATGGACCGCCAGCTAGTCCTTGCCCGCAGGGAAAAGGATGCAATTGAGGCGTCTGCAATCAAGCAGATCAAGAAAATGCAGCAAGGGTTTTTGATACTCTCGCAAAACGCTGTGGCCGGGCAACTAGCCGGCATTGGTGGTGCTGCGGCGCTAAAGAAGTATCAAGAGGTCCCGTTGCCTCCGATACCAAAGGGACCGCCGCAGGAGCCGCTGCCAGTGCCCAAGAGGTCAAACACTGGGTCGCGGAAAGGTGTGAGCAGGACTAAATCGGGGAGGAGGCACTCTTCACTTTCTGGCATAACACCGCCAGCCCTTGAAGTGGGGAAGATGGAGCCTGTGCCGAAGATAGTCACACACAAGTCCATGGAGAAACTAAAGTCAAGCCCCAAGTTGATGGACGATGAAGAGGAAGTTATCGAATGGTGAGATTACATGTCGAGTCGAAGCGGTATTTTCCGGGTTTATTTTTTTGCGGGCGTACTGCGTTTTTAGGGTTGGTCATTTTTCTCTTTTTTTTTTGTGAATAACTATTATCATTTTTCTATCCTTCCTTTCATTCTATCTTTCTTTTCTCTTCTTTTCTAGTTCTTTAGGGCAGTTAATATTGTGTAACTTTATACCTCCTATAATCGATGATCTTTCTTTCTTTCTGTATTTTGGTTAGAGGGGCTCGGGAGGGTAGTCATAAACTTTATGATCCGCTGTATGCGGCGGTGAATTCATCTGGATTAAGTAGTCTCAAGCTTTCATACCCGCTCATCTCATATGTATTGAAACTCGACTTTAGTGACAGAAGGAAGGGACGGGGTCGAAGTCCCCCTCCCTCATGGAAGGCTTTCTGCCACTGATGGTCCAAAGTACAAAAAATAAAAAAAGGATCCTAAACTCCAGAGAGTACAAAAACAAAATACCAAGTGACCCAAGTCGATTTTATAAACTCATGTTTTATAAACTCGCTTGCCGAGGTGTTAGCCGAACCGGGGGCCTCCCGATTAAACTACCATGGGATCCGTCGCCAATATCGCTAGGCCATTGGGAGGTTCGGACTTTCCAGCCGTAGTAATTTAATGAGCCCAACCTTTGCAGCAGTATTCATAATACTGGGCCCGTTGAACATAACACATGGATTAACGATTCTTCCAAAGTTAAGCACGATTGCTCTATTGGGTAACTCGAGATACCCGCTTATGTAGCTCAGTTTAAACTTTCGGCAGGATTGTCAATGATGCTATGGGAATTACCTAGGGAGGCAATAGCCTAGAGATTCGCGCTATGTGTTACGACGCTCGCCTGGGCCTAGTATTATGAAAATGCTGTAAAGGGGATTGATGGTGATGACGAACTATCGGTGTATATTACGATAGTGGGATGAGATGAGGATTAGTAGAGCAGTGGTCGAGCTCGAGTGGGGCTAGCTGGCTACATGTACTTGTGGGAAAAATACTAATCTCGTGCCTTACCGTGCTGTCGGTGCCGGGGTATATATAGCGCCTGTCGTAGATAATGCAGACAAATCTCCCCTTTACTCCCAACCACCTTGAGGTCTTGCGTTGAAACCGGCGAGAAGAGACTTTCGAGGTTTGCATCATAGGCCATCACTCGCATTTATTAAAACCTCATATTGTGGATTCCAACGTGCGGCTGTGTTTACATATATTCCTGTAATGCAATTCTGAAGACCAGAAAACATTTATGTCGGCTACACTGTATCATCTACCACAACATGGCCCGTCTGCCGGTTACATGCGGACACGCCAAGAGAAACCGGGCAGACAGCTGGCGAACGAATGCCGCCCCCGCAGGCCTCCCCGCACTTTTTCGCACCCGGGTGCGTCCCTCTATCCCGGATATCCCCTCCTCGAGAAGGTTACGCAATCGTCTGTTAACGTCTGGTTTCATGCTCCATCGATCCCTAGCCCCTTATTAATTTATTATCATCCTAAAGACATGCATCTCCTGCTAGCTACACACTCCCTTCTCCCTCTTTCGTGTTTCATCGGCCGGCATTATGTAATCGATGGGTACATACATGAACAACCCATCTGCTGGCGCTAGCGGTTGGACCGGGCGCTAATGACGGTCGCCAGCCCGAAACCGCCGCACCCCCAGTTCTCAGTACTGTCGTTTATGGGATACGTGACTGTCAGCTACGTATACTACACTTGTGGACTTATGGAGATGGATAGGTGGCGTGACAAGTATAAAGCTAGAAACTCTAGTAGTCCTACCAACATCGTTGTCGTCTCTTCTCCCTTCCAGAAGTTTGGTCTTAACTGTTACAGCCATAATTAATTGGAACACGTACTGCCTTACAGTACTATTTCAAGTGTAAGATCTTCCAGTGTACCTATACCACGACGGCTCGATTTTTTTACATGGAATGCCTGTGAGCGGGATTCACGGCCCTTGCGTACCACTATCTAAGGCTACATATATCTATCACCGTTCTTCTCTTCGCTGATGGGTATTCAAGGCCGAAAATCACCTCTTTATTATATACGATATACAAATGAAATTTATTGAGGTATATTTTAACGCCGTGACTCCCAAACTATGAATATACAAGATGCTCAAGAACGCCCGTTCCCAAAATCACACTAACCAACCCAACGCTAGAAAAACGCCCACATCATAGCCGCTGCACCACCAATCCTATTACAAGTCAGCTTACTCGTGCTTGGTGAAAGATAAAGTATGGAGTACTCACACTCCAGACGCCAAAGCCAAAGGTACATCCGCAGCCCGCGAAACTCTTAAACTCGCTACCCCGGCGATCCCGCATGACAGCATTGTTAAGCCCATTTTCAACGCGGGGGAAAACTCAACCTAGAAGCCACGGGTTATTAAGAGTGATCTTACAAGTGGGGAACGGAGAATCTACCTCGGACTTTCTAGGCCTCCGATGTAATCTTGCTAAGTCTTCTGGATGATCACCCAATACTCTGCCTTCAGCTTCTACAAGTGGTCGTCGCTTCATCACCCATGCCTTGTAGACTTCCAGATCTCCTTTCTCTATCGGTGAAAGGGCATCCGTCATTTCTCTATATCCCTTCAGTGCTTTGTCTATTCCCAGTGAGTAACCTCCTTGTCCCCTTTATGTAATGGTAAAGGCTGACTTACTATACTGCTGTAACTTGAACGCAATAGCACCCATAACCTGAAGCCTCCTACTATCACTTCCCATGCCGCGTCTTGCACGTAGGCTCGCACCGTTGTTGTGAATATACTCTTGCTCATCGAGATCGGAAAGGACAGATTCAAGCTCTGATATCTCATCCTGGAGATGCAGAAGCACGAGATGATTAAGCTTTGAGAAGCGGCGGTATAGTTGAAGAGACGGAGTTGTAGAGAGAGTCTCTGCGAGGAAGGGATAGCCAGTGGGTACCCTGAACGTAGGTGATGGAGGCGGTGTTGCGTAGTACGGTACTGATGGCAACATCTGTGTGCTACATTTCTTCTCCTCAGGATTGGTATTGGATGAAATATCACCCTCGCCCTGCTTCTTTTCGCACACTTCACCTTCCTGGACACTCTTGCACGCCTTCATACTCTGCGACCCTCGTATGGTTGCGTTGTCGTAATGCTGGCAGTCACTCCCCTCGCTGGGGGCCTTCTTCATATATGCCATTACCGGCGGCGGCGTCGGCAGCGGGTGCGGATAGTGCACTGGCGGCGGCGGCGGGTAAGAGTTTCCGCAGAAGGAATCTCTTACATGTAGAGGCGATACCAAGGGATAGGCCTGCAGCGATCTCCTTTGGGTGTGCGGTGAATACCCTCCATTGCCACACCCATACGCATTATCATAGTATCCAGATCCTTGATATGCCTGATGCGATTCTGGGCTATTCTGATAAGGCGGAGGATAGTATGGGACATTCATATACTGGCCTGGAACCGGGATGGGTTGGCGTGGTCGTGGTGTTGCGTCCTCGACGCCTGTGCTGCGAGTCCTCTTCTTCTTGTGGGGAGCCCGTGAGGTTGACTCGGAGCGCTGGGGGTGAGAGCTTTCAGCAGCGGTAATGGTCGTGGCGGTGGTGGCAGTTTTTGCTGTGTTTGGATCATCTATTTTTGGGAGTACGGGGAAACGGGCTTCATAATCGGCATCAGCGGTAGGTGAGGTGTCGCGGAAGCGTGCTCCTACCACAGCAGGTGACGGCGGTGGAGGAGGGATTTGAGGGTTATTCCAGGAGTCTGTGGTTGAAGAGGTCATCGTGAGGATTTGCTGCCTGTGGTCTTTTTTCCCTTTGGGTTGCTCTTGCAAAAATCGAAGTTGGTTAGATGTTGGGAAAGTTATATGGCAGAGGCCTTACTGATATAGCAGATTAAATCCAGGCAAATGCTGATGGTGATACCGCGTGGCTACTCTACTGTATTATGCTATCTACATTGACTGAGTACATACTAACTAACTACCTAGTACAGAAACCTGGGGAGCATTGCCTGATCGCAGTACCCTTGTTTATTCTCCTCCCCCTCCTCCTGTGTCTGTCAGCTGCGTATATACTTGCTACCGCCGCCCTGGTAACGATTCTATACGGCCAAGTTTCAAGCCGCCGGTCTACTTGGGTGATTTACCAAACCGCTGCAGGTTTCTAATGTCATGCTCTCTTGCGCCAGGATGGGGATGTAGTGGTGTGGATGGTGGGCACAGGACCGTTTTTTTGCTTTTATCTCCCGAGTTGAATATTGCATGAAGATCGTTAGTTTTGAATCGGGCTGCAGCAGCAGTAAAAAGGCGTGGGTTAGGGTTGAGGTTGATAAGGATGGAGGACCGGAATAGGAAGTGGTGGTGCCGCGTTTGGTTGTTTATTGACGGTGTTTATTAGTAGGTAGGGATTTGTTACTGATCGCACCGCTATAAGACATGGAGTTGTGGGTCTACTGGAAGTAGGGTTATTACGTTTCTCCAGCCAATCATATAGATTTGCGACAGAGATAGTCTCCCATGAGGCAACAGAAAAGAATTATTAAAAACGAAAAAAAAGCAAGCTGGATCGAACGTCATATATTTGGACGACAGGGGGGGTGGGTTTCAAGAGGTAGGAGCACTAGGATACTACTCTAGAGGGGGGGATTTGAAATAAGATGGGGCGAGCTAGAGAGAGAAAAAAACGGTTCAAGTAGTTGAATTGGAAACATTGTGAGTTTCGCACGATGGTCGTTAATCGCTCATCTATCATCTACATAGCTCATCTTCTTATCTTTAGACGCATTGGATCGTGGGCTTTTGAAGGGGCGCGCCCCCCCCGGGGGGGGGTGTGAGGGGGATTGAAGATATCAATTCATGTCTCTATCTCGAGATAACTACACCGTTCAATGGACTTGATAAGATCGCTAAAGTCTCCTCTTTCTCTCTAACTCTGGATTAGGAGGGCAGAGGCTAAACGACAAAAAAACATACATACATACTTTGGTCGACCGCGCGCGCGATATCAGATTTTTGAGGGAGAGACGTTGCGATAAGTTGAATTCAGTTAATCAGTTGTGCCACATGGGTTGGTTTCCTAATCGGGAATTATAGTAGGATAGCTACTTGTTTGAGGCTCGATGTGGTAATGTGAACCCCGGCTTCCCTTCAGGCACTCCATTTTTTTCATTTTTTTTTTTTCCTTTTACTCTTTATTTTTAATAGGGGAAGGGTCTCGGATTGTCAAACACTGGGCTGGCTTATGATGAGTCATTTAAAAAAGTGGGATGTTTTTTATTTTTATCTTTGGGTGATTTGCCTACTCTTGGAGTTCATGGAGGGCTGATGCTCGGTCTGCTCCGTTAGTTGCCGTTAATCGAGCGAGTACTAGCTTGCGCAGGGTATTCATGTACGCACTATCATTGACATCTTTGACCTCTCTCCCCGGGTTGGGTACGGTACGTATCCCAAACAACTACCATTCCAGTAAATGAAACCACAGGTTGAATGGGAACTAAGCGCTGGCCTTGCTACGTAGGCCTGAAAACCCTCAAATGCCCGCCGCACCGCAATTCGTATAATACGGCTGCCACGAACCAGGATCCCATTTAGAAATTAAAAATGACCCCACATTCACATCCACATTCCGGAAAGCTGGCCATGGGGGTGCAACTTTAGAGACATTGATCCACTCAAACTTACTGCTACGTACCGGGACGGCCGGACGGCCCCCCCAGATTATCACATGGCATACAAAATCAAGGACCCCGGCTCGCTCATGAGCTCTCAGCCAGTTATGGGAGGCCTGAAGCTAGGGTTCCCTCAGTATTTTATCTTGGTCGAGTATATACAAATCTGTGCCACGTATATACATATCATCTACACCCGCCCGTCTCTCCGGCCTGGAATCCGACAGCGGTTACATACACAAGTATTCATTGCAAGTCTACCTCGTCTACCTAGTCGACGTGTACCTCCAGCTCGCTATGAAAGCAGGGGTCTGAGAAACAGGGCTCCTCCCACGCAATCCGATCCGCCTTGCGCAAAAACAAGGCTACCAAAAATTGTCCGAGTCATGTGACCGTGGGCTAGTTTTACCCCAAGTGCAGTTATGAGATGGTGAACTTGGCTGATGCACTGAGGGAAGTGTAGATTTGGTGATGATGTGGGATGTGCATAACTGTTGTCAGAGGAGGATGGATGGAGGGGCATGGCATGGGGAAGCGTGGCGAGTGATGGTTGGTGATGCGGCATATGTGGTTTTTGACGGGGGGTTAGCGCTGGTACTTTGTGGGGATATCTAGGGATTGGAAGATTGTGTTTTGGGCGGTGGGGGGTATGTGGTCAGATGAGTTGCGGTGTAGAGGGTTCTGGAAGTGTTGTGGCACCGTGGGGAAGGACACTTTGCAAGGCGAGGGTTGCCAGTCGTTGTAGGAAGCAGAAGAATTATATGGACGGTGACTATGGTAACCAAGAAGCTTTTGCAGATGAGTTCAATGAGAGTGTAGGTAAATTTGGACATTAGATCATGGTATATCACTCGGTCACGCCATTTTTTCTTTCTTTTTCCACAGTCATTGATGGCAACCATTTTTATTCCGAGCGCAGGAAAAACAAGCACCTGGCTGCAACGAGCTAAACAGATAGACACATACATGTATGCGGGACAGTCCTCATTCCCTAGCATGCGTACGCCCCTTGTACGTACCCTTGTATCCCCTGGCTCGTAACAGAGAACTTTCGAGCCCTTGTCAGCAACCAGAAGTATACTATCTATTCCTCAACTGTCTATTGTCTAGCGAATTCATAACTCCTTGACATGATCCTTAACACAAGAGCCCAGACCTGAATAGTTTCATGAGTCTTGGGTCGGAGGATCGAGAGGGTGGTAGCCAAGGGGTTGAAAATTAGCTACGAGCCATGAGATAGAAATTTGCCAGATATCAGCTAGATAAGACGATAACGTTGTTGATAATCTTTCCTCTATTCTGAATCAACTGCTCTATGTCCTTCATCCACTGAAGGAGACGGCTCTTTCTACGCTGCAGGGCCTCATGCTCCTCGGCGTCGAAAATGACGACCTCGCCATTGCGCGTGTTGAGGGTTACGGTACGTAAGGGGTTGGAGAATAGGATAGCGTACTGGTGGTAGTCCGCGGATAATCTGTCGTAGTCGGCTTTGAGGGTGAGAACTTCCAGTTGGAGGGACTTCAGCTGTTCAGGGGTTGTTGAGGACATTTTGATGGTATTTGGAGATGTGGTGAGAGTGATGTGATGATGTGTGTGATTGTTGTAGTGGTCAGACCAGTGGGAGAGAGTGATAGGGTCTTTATAAAGTACAGAAGAGATCATGGATTCAAGATGGTGACATGGATGTGGTTGAGTTTCGTATAAGGTTTCATGTTTCATTGATCGTGAGATGGACTTGAAACACCAAACATTAGCAAAGTACAACGTATACTCAAACAGAAGTACACAGTTGGGGTTCGGCGGCATTAACAGAGCTTGGGCGCAATTTGGTGTATGTGGTCAACCGTGCAGTTATCGGATAAGATGGGCCAAGATCTAATCTACGCATCTGAGGTCTTGTTCGTCACCTACAAAGGTTAAATCCCAACGTCACTTCGCCATCTATCCCCATCCTCTATGTATCATCAACATCCCGCATCACCTATAGTTCAATTCCATCCTTCATCTCCATGCCCCAACCAGTTATCCCTGTGTTTCCCCAGCAATTCCTCTATCGCCGTCAGTGCTCGATACCATCTCATCCTATCGCCGCGCGCTCCTGCGCACTGTACTGGGAAATCGAGAGAACACACTTCCTTTCATCCCCACTCTCCCCACCCCCTCACATACCGTTTATCCTTCACAGCCAACCTGTACTCCTCCAATCGCCCGCTGGTCAACTTTGGGTTAGTTTAATCAGCGTGCCTCCTGATTTATTTTCACTCATCTTTTCTTTTTTCATTATCTCCATGGCCAACGATCAAACCAAAGATGAACCAGGCAAATACGCAGACAAAAACTCACAGATAGGAGAGATCATTCTCTTCTCTGCTGATTTGCAGCAGTTCGAAGAGCAGATGACAGAGGTTTGGCTTTGTTCAAAAAGAACTTGAAATGCTTGTTTTGGGGAAAGGTTAGCCATCGCCGAGGCTTGTCTGAAATTTGTCTTAGATGGCTGCTACCTGAGCTCCAGGGTTTTTAATTGACCGTTCGGTCTCCACACAAAGAAATAGCGTCATGCTTGCCTATCTGCTCGAGCTTTGGGCCTGGTTCTTGATAGCGCCGTGCTAGACCTCCGGCTATCTCCTAGGACCGCCGCTGTCATTGAGTCGGGGGATGGCTTTTACACATTAAGTATGATCTAATTGCAAGGATTATTTTATGGATATCATTGCGGCGGCAATTAACACCTACCTACGCATCCAACTCACTAACTGCTTTTTGAAGTTTAGACTTGCAAATATTTCAGAATGAATATTTAAATTAGGAATGGCAAGCTTGGCCGGCTAGGGCCAGTTCGGAAACCATTTTGATTTCTAACTAATGTGTAGAGACTTCCTTGAGAGCAAAGACTGATATACCTACAGGACAGGTCTAGTCAGGCTTCTACTAATAGGTCTACGAAGTACTTCTTTGGACAGAACTTGTATAGGAAGCGCCGAAGAATTTGTCCAGAATAACCCATCATTGAAAAGGAATTTAATGACTTGGATGGTAGTACACGTACTATTCCGCCTCTTTAACCGCATGGAATCGAATTATCATGTGATTTGTTGAGAGGGCTAGGACACAATGAGCTACGCTCCAATCGTGGCCTCATGCCCCCTTGGGGACGCTACTGAACAAGCCACACTTGGGTACCGCAAGATGCTATCAAGGCGGAGCGATATTGTATGAGGCAGTGACCAACATATCAGCGCTCTAATCTACTCGCATATCGTTGTGGTGTTAATCGTTGGGTATACAAATAACTCGGCTTGTTTGGGGTAATGAGTTTTTTTACCCGTCTGTTACGGCTACGCTAATCTGGTTATTAAGGAATCAATTCTATTTGCTTTTTTATCCGAACTTGAGCTCCTTGTTGGAGATGGCAGATTACTTGGCTTTCTCTATGGCAGCTTTCACAAACACAGTGGATTAAAATTTGTGCTGGGATACTAAAACTACTATGGCTAGATCGAATAGCTTTTAAACCCAGATCATTTTGCAAGGCACCTAGGCTCCTTGTATATCCCCAAAGTAGTGGTCTCTTTGCTAGGACTAACGAAGAATCACAGGCATAGGGTATCATCCTTTGGTTATCAAACAAAATCAAAAAGAAATAATCGTATTATCCAAACAGGAATAGGGGATAAAACAGGCTGATTACACTGACGAATTTGGACAGCACCAAAAGAGCCAGGTGCCGGCCTGTAAATAGGTCAAATCCTTCCGCCTTGGCTGGAGACTTTTACCTCTTGGTATATTGTCAGATACGGTACAGAGTAGCTCTAATAACCTACTGAGGGTTATGTGCGGGGGTAAAAGCACCTTACCGAACATATTGGGCAGTTCAATGGGTTTAATTGGATCAAAGTCGCACATGACTAGTTGAGCAGAAGTACGGACATGTTCTGAGGCCAAATGAGGCTTTATGGTTCAACAGAAATATCAGTCAGAGCCCACACATGTACTCACGAAAAAAGAGTTGAAAATACACCTCGTTGCAAAGGTTGGCAATAACGGGGCGCTGTTCCGCCCCTTGAATATCTAGAGATTCATTTCCATGGGCATGCCACCCAAGGGCTGATGGAACAGGCCAATTTACTACAGCCCGAGTGGAGATATTCGAGTACATTTATCCCAATCTCGGCTTCGAAATTCCTGGCCGGACAATTAGCTGGGCAGGAACATTGACAGATTTTCTAGCCGAGTGAGAGTTCATGACTTGCCGAGCTCATCCGAAATCGAGAACCCACTCACGATGCCATTGGGGAAGACTGTCTATGGGATTAAATAATCTGGATTATGACAGCTCTACCACTACAGTAAAAGCTAGCTATAGTGGTACTCCTTATAAGGTAATCTCCCTATTAAGGTAGAGGGCTTCAGTCTCTTATTTTTGGTGAGCTGGACTGGTAAATTGGCTATAAGAGTACCGGTAGTAGGGTAGGAAATATTTTGGTGTGATACATGTACCCATGGTGAGCTGAGGGTCAAAATTAGATTGTAAGGGGCTGCCGAAAATTCTGATTGCCATCAGTGCTGGGTCCATTAGTTATTGTAAATTTATTTTTCTTTCTTCGAGGAACCGTTACGATCATCTGTATTTTTAAAAAATAATTTACATTCTCTCTCTGAACCGGTACGTAAGCTCACTATAACGGTACCAGAACTCGGTGCAGAGCGTACCACTATAGCGAGCCTTGACTGTATGAGGCTATGAACGGTCCGGGGTTTTCATAGATCGAAGGATATTACAAGTTAGGATATATGGATCTAGAGAATTGATTTTATATTTTTACCACAAGTGAGACTCCATTGAAGAAACAAGTCTTAGCCTGAACAAGGTAATCGCAACCTTATGTCTACAAAGTAAACCCGCCCCCTCGATGACCAGAACTCCTAATTGGGCTTTACGTGCTAATACTAACCGATAAGTTTTAAGAGGGCGCCCAGGCAGTCATCAGCACACGCATGGTTTAAATGGTCGAGGGGTAATACAGCTACCTAGCGGAGCCACCATGTAGACCTTCTGGAGGTCTTGCGTTCGACTCACATCAACGCAGTGGAGCGCAACACTTTTTGTATTTTATCTTTTTTTTTTTTTTTTTTTTTTGTAAAGCTTCTGTCTGCATACCCTGGATACATACATGTACTTGTAAGTAGTCGACTGTTGTGGTTGATGAATGGCTGGAATCCTTTACGGATAACTAGGCTAAAATTCCGTTAACGACGGACCTATAGCTATATAGACCCAAACCGGTGATAAACCTCTCTGGATTAGACACTGTGTTTGAATGTGTTGAGCGGAGACTGATAAAGAAAAAACGGATAAAAATATCGAAACATTTATGGCGAGTGAGAGATCATGATTAAAATAGGTGGTAGCCTTAAATGCGCAACTACACCCTCGCTGCAGTGGGTCACGGAATGCAAGCCCCAATAGCTGATCACGTAAGGTAATGATGCGTACTTCGAAAGCTTCCTTTTCCATTGTGGATAGGCGGCCCAATTATTCCCGACATTAATAGATTTCTGTTAGCTGTGATTTTAGGGCGGAGTTTGACCACACGGCTGGGGTGTGTTTCTAGTATCGGGGTTCTTATATCTTATTTCTTTTCCTCTTAAGCTTTTTAGAGCGTTACTTAGTCAATTATTTACTGAAATAGCTAGCCATTATGAGTAGTATTTACCTACAATGCTAAGATTTTTTCTTTTACTCTTACAACCTGTATCAGGACCTTGTGGAGCGGTTTAGCCGACTAGGTGTCAAAAAAACATTACAATATATAGCTAAGTTGTTGTGATCGGTTAAGCATATGTGTTAGTTTTGAGACCCTATAAACTAAGCTGCGCCTGCAACCCACTTAACCCAATCATCCTCACTCTCGTCTTCTTCATTCGAGCAGTAGAGTACAGTGTGGTCCACAAGGACGCTCGAGGCGAGGTTTGTGGGTACCCTCAAGGTACCTCGCCCTCGTTGACCTCTGCAGCTGTCCTTGTCTGTCCTCGAGGTCCGGCACTGTTGTCCTCGAGGTACCTCGAGGAGCCTTGAGGACTATAAAAAACGACCCGGTAGAGCAAAATCTTAAAATGAAAGGTATATTTTATTAATGACCTCATTCCATTAGGGCATATTAAGTGTTTATTATGGCCAAGAATTGTCCTTAGAATTCCTCGAGGCAAGGACAGATATTGTCCTCGAGGTTCCTTGTCCTTTTGGACCACTGTCCTTGCCTGTCCTCGAGGCAAGGACACAAGGACGCTCGTCCTCGTGGACCACACTGGTAGAGTAAGTACCATAGCTTGAGATGTCTTCTTGAGAACGCCCCAGACCTCGGGTAAGAGACCTAGAACACCAACAGCCTGAAAACCTTTCAAACCACGTTTCATGTGTAACATCACGACAAACTGTACAGTCGTTCACCGTCTCTTGACGAATACTGCCGCTTGACGAACAGGAATTCCAGGTATGGCAAGAAACAGTCAAGCAACAGCCAAGCTGCGGGATCTCTAGTCCTTTTAATTTCTATTGGCCCAAAGTCCCCTGTTCGTCAACTGGCAGTATTCGTCAAGCGACGGTGAACGACTGTAATCTATATCGGTTTACTCGCACATATCGTGGCACCTCCATACAGCTAGAATCTGCCAACGAAAATGACAGCCAGCACCTCAAAGAAGCCACAATGCCTGACATCCTGTCGAGACACCTCTCGGGGGCGAGTGACTCACCATGTCTCACTCCCTATATATTTCTTCTTCCCCCCCTTAGTCATCCACTCAAGCCAACCTCAGAACAGTTAGCGAAGCACAGACAGCCCCACCACCCCGCAATCCTCAATCTCGAGATCTGCAGACGTCAATTCTCGCGACCTCAATTCCTTAGTCCTCAAATCGCACAACCCCTCACGCAAACATGTCCTACACAACGCGCACCTACGAGGCTCGTGCCGAAACGCACCCGACCGAGATCGGCCGCCGCCTCCTCACCATAATGGCCACAAAAAAGACCAACCTCTGCATCTCCGTCGACCTCACAGACCCCGACCAGATCCTGGCCCTCGTCGACAGTACCTCCCCCGCCGCCCCTCCCGAAAGCACTACTAACCTCCCACAGAACTCGGCCCCCAAATCTGCCTCGTAAAAACCCACATCGACATCATCACCTTCACCACGCCCTCCTCCATCACAGACTTCACCACCGCCCTCACCGCCCTCTCCACCAAGCACAACTTCCTCATCTTCGAGGACCGCAAGTTCGCCGACATCGGCTCCACCGTCGCGCACCAATACCGCGGCGGCGTCTACCGCATCGCCTCCTGGTCGCACATCACCAACGCGCACACCGTGCCCGGGCCGGGCATCATCGCCGGTCTCCACAGCGTGGCTAAGGAGGTAGGCAAGCCCAGGGGACTGCTGATGCTCGGTGAGATGTCGTCGGAGGGTAATCTGGGGGGCGGGGAGTATCTGCAGAAGACGGTGGAGATGGCGCGGGGGGATAGGGACTTTGTGGTCGGTTTTATTGCGCAGGGGAAGGTGGAGGGGGCGAAGGAGGGGGAGGATTGGATTGTAATGAGTCCGGGGGTAAAATTGGGGGGTGGTGGGGATGCGTTGGGGCAGAGGTATAATACGCCGCAGAGTGTCGTGGGGGATAAGGGGAGTGATGTGGTTATTGTGGGGAGGGGGGTCATCACGAGTGAGGATCCGGTGAAGGAGGCGGAGAAGTATAGGGTGGCGGCGTGGGGGGCGTATGAGAAGAGGGTTGCGGCGGCGTGAGATTTGAGCGTTTCCGAGTGAAGGGGTAAGGAGGTAAAAGTTTTTATGGTATTAATTAGGTATTGCAGGTTAGGGAATGGTAGAAATAGAATCATCCCAACCTTAGGTCTTATATCCAATCTCACACAGTGACAAAAATGGCAGAGTAAAAGCTTCCAGGAATAAATGATAACAATGACCTCCGTCCGTAAAAGACCACCACCCAAAGGCAGATCCACTAGTCCCGATACAGCACCGCGTGATAATCCATGATCGACCGGCCGGACATTACTACTTCTTATAATTATTACCGTCCGCCCTCGTCTCTGCCCACAAATCCGTAAATAATTCCATCTAAAGGTGCCGTGTATGCAGGCGCCGGAGAATTGTCGTTCGGACAGTCGTTCGCTCAGCACTCCCGAGCTTGTATACATGTACTTCATGGCTTTTAGTAGACTGGTCTGCCTAGTCCATACTCAATCCTTTTTCATTATATTTTTGTATGAGTTCGCCTGTATTATAGCCACCGATGATATAGGGAAAATGGTACCGGAATCACAATATGTTGGCACAAGTTACTTACACCGGCCCAGTACTTAGGCTCCGCATGGTATCAACGGCCGTTCGATTTCGCTGCCAGGTGAGCTTCCGTTCGGGTGTGAGGAACAGACTACTAGCGCTTTATGTTGTTTAAAAAGGTTCTTGGTCTCAACGGTTCCGTTGTATGGGCGCATGTTGCGTGGTTGCTATGAATGTGTTGTGGTTGAGTGGGGAAAAGTACCTCTAGAGGTCCTTTCACATTTTACATACAGTTGACCGTTAAGCTCCGTTCCCATACTCAACGGTTGGACGTTGCCAAACACCCTCTGACGGTCATTGTTGCTCAACGGCCTCCCAAGGCCCTGAACGGACGGATACTATATAACGGCCGTTGATACCATGCGGAGCCTTAGATGTTGACCAAATCGGCCGGATCTGCCGATTCATCTCCGGGTATAATATATATTCCTGGCGTCGATATGTGTTCTAAATAGATAGATATTATGTCTTCTCTATGTAGCATTTATAGAAATAGAGGTCTGTATGTATACTCCTGCTCTACTCCCCTCCGTGGGACGCCCGACCGGGTCCCC